ACAGAGAAAGAGAGACCAGGGAGAGAGACCAAAGAGAGAGACCAGAGGGACTTTAGAATGAGACCAGAGAGAGACCAGGGACAGACCAGGGAGAGACCAGGGACAGACCAGGGAGAGACCAGAGGATTACTGTGAGTCAGAAGGAGCCATGAGAACTTCGTTATAGCAGCTTGGATTTTCCAGAACAATCCAACAGTGTTTGATCTCAGACTGGAGCCGGTGCCATAACCTCCTGGTCGGTGGTTGTGTGTTCTCTCTTTACGCCCACGGCTCGGGGTCTTGCCGTTCGTTATCGCCCACGCCTCGCGCTGAAGACACACGACTGCGTTTTCATTGAAATGCACCGAAACACACCATCGTTCACAGACATGCTTTGTACCATGGCTCTCCCTAGGGTCGGATTCTCACTCATCAATCCATACATGACCAAACCAAGCCTAATATTAGATATCTCTGGTCTCTCTCTGGTCTCTCTCTGGTCTCTCTCTGGTCTCTCTCTGGTCTCTCTTTGGTCTCTCTCTGGTCTCTCTGTGGTCTTTCTCCGGTCTCTCTCTGGTCTCTCTCTGGTCTCTCTTTGGTCTCTCTCTGGTCTCTCTGTGGTCTTTCTCTGGTCTCTCTCTGGTCTCTTCCTCGTCTCTCTCTGGTCTCTCCGTGGTCTTTCTCCGGTCTCTCTCTGGTCTCTTCCTCGTCTCTCTCTGGTCTCTCTGTGGTCTCTTTGTGGTCTCTCTGTGGTCTCTCTCTGGTCTCTCTGTGGTCTCTCTGTGGTCTCTCTGTGGTCTCTCTCTGGTCTCTCTCTGGTCTCTCTCTGGTATCTCTCTGGTCTCTCTGATGTTGTAAATATTAACAGACATAGTGACATTTATCTCCGTTGTTGATCTCCTTCTGTGGCTCTTTCAAAAATGGCCGAGGGTAAACTAGCTCCAATCATCTAACGAGTGCATTCAAAAGTCTACAGCGACTAAACTAGACTGGTCCAAAAACAATCAGCACTTTTGGACCAAGAACCACGCTTAGACCAAGAGCCACTTTTGGACCAAGAGCCACTTTTAGACCATCCTGTAAAGGTTTTCTAGAGGAAAGAAGACTCCAGACAGAAGCATTGGGTAATTCTCTTTCCGGGTACACCCCCACAGACCAGGAGAGAGATTGCAGCACATCACCAGAGGAAATGGGTGGACTCTGGTCTGCTCTGACTCAGGCTGGAACAAAAACCAGCAGCCACACCCACCTTTTGAAGACCGGTCTCCATCTTATCCCAGATCCTGTCGGACCTCTAAAGCTAAGCGTGGCAGAGCCTGGTGAGTACTGTGATGGGAGACCTCTGGGACCGTCGTTGTGCTCTTAGGCAAGACACTTCCCCTACATTAGAATGAGTGTGGCATGTTTTGGAGGCTCATTTGGAATTTAATTTATACTTTGGAATGAGAGAATTTTGACAACTTTCCTGATTTGTTTAAAGAACGATGAAAACTAAAAAAAATAATAATATAATAATAATCATGGATTTTTCACTTTCCGGGGATTGGATCAGAATAAAAAACAAAAAAAAAGCTTTGGTAATAAGTCTCATTATCATCAGTCTCATTCACGAACGTCCGATCTTGGAGAACCATGCTGAGACTGATGGTCCTCTGGTCCCACATAGTCACTGCTCCTGGTTCCTGGTTCTCCACAGTCCAGGTTGATGGTCCAGAACGTGGCCACATCCAACAAATGTTTGAGGACCTCCTGCAGTCGCTGTCAAATCTGTCCTATGAAAAAATCTATATTTTGTGTTTTATTTGAACTTTTCCACATGGTTTTAGTTTTACTTCTTGTCCTGTATTTCTGAGTCTCGGTAAAAAGCAAAGTACATTAAGAGGTTTGTGGCGAAGGTGATGTGTTCTAAAAATAATCTGTAAGAATCAAGATCCTTGAAGTTGCAGCTGTTTGTTTTAAGGCTGTAAAAGACCAGAGAGAGACCAGAGAGAGACCAGAGAGAGACCAGAGAGAGAGACCAGAGAGAGAGACCAGAGAGAGACCAGAGAGAGAGAGACCAGAGAGAGACCAGAGAGAGACCAGAGAGAGAGACCAGAGAGAGAGACCAGAGAGAGACCAGAGAGAGAGAGACCAGAGAGAGACCAGAGAGAGACCAGAGAGAGACCAGAGAGAGAGACCAGAGAGAGAGACCAGAGAGAGAGACCAGAGAGAGACCAGAGAGAGACCAGAGAGAGACCAGAGAGAGAGACCAGAGAGAGACCAGAGAGAGACCAGAGAGAGACCAGAGAGAGAGACCAGAGAGAGACCAGAGAGAGACCAGAGAGAGACCAGAGAGAGACCAGAGAGAGACCAGAGAGTGAGACCAGAGAGAGACCAGAGAGAGACCAGAGAGAGACCAGAGAGAGACCAGAGAGAGAGACCAGAGAGAGACCAGAGAGAGAGACCAGAGAGAGACCAGAGAGAGAGACCAGAAAGAGACCAGAGAGAGACCAGAGAGAGACCAGAGAGAGACCAGAGAGAGACCAGAGAGAGACCAGAGAGAGACCAGAGAGAAACCAGAGAGAGACCAGAGAGAGACCAGAGAGAGAGACCAGAGTGAGACCAGAGAGAGACCAGAGAGAGACCAGAGAGAGACCAGAGAGAGACCAGAGAGAGACCAGAGAGAGACCAGAGAGTGAGACCAGAGAGAGACCAGAGAGAGACCAGAGAGAGACCAGAGAGAGACCAGAGAGAGACCAGAGAGAGAGACCAGAGAGAGAGACCAGAGAGAGACCAGAGAGTGAGACCAGAGAGAGACCAGAGAGAGACCAGAGAGAGACCAGAGAGAGAGACCAGAGAGAGACCAGAGAGAGACCAGAGAGAGACCAGAGAGAGAGACCAGAGAGAGACCAGAGAGAGACCAGAGAGAGACCAGAGAGAGACCAGAGAGAGACCAGAGAGAGACCAGAGAGAGACCAGAGAGAGACCAGAGAGTGAGACCAGAGTGAGACCAGAGAGAGACCAGAGAGAGACCAGAGAGAGACCAGAGAGAGACCAGAGAGAGACCAGAGAGAGACCAGAGAGAGACCAGAGAGTGAGACCAGAGAGAGACCAGAGAGAGACCAGAGAGAGACCATGAAATATTTGTATCATGGGATTTTGTGTTTATTTGGACTTTTCCACATGGTTTTAGTTTTACCTCTTGTCCTGGTCCTCTGTGTTGACCATGTGTCTCTGTGTCACTTTTTACTGTTTTTTCTTTTATCTATCTCCATGTTCCTGGGTCCTGTTTTTTCTTTTGGTTTTTTCCTGGACTTCTTATTCATCCTGATTATAATCAACATTAATGGGTCAAACACAATTTGTGTTTTTATCTCAAATTTTGCTAAAATCTTGGACTCTTGAGTGTCATTAATATGTTTTTAACTATTTAAAGTTATGATAGCTACATATATAATACATGTTTGTTAGTCCCAACACAGTAGAAATAGTAAAAGTTAAATGTTGTGACCAAAATTGGACCATAACCTTCTCTCATCTTCGAAAACGTTTTCATTTGTGAAAATGTAAAAAACAGCCCGTGAGTCACAATTTTTGGTTTCAAAAATCTGTGACCGATACCAGAAATATCCGTGAAACTAGCGACAGAAGCAGACTATTCTAGATCTAGGAACTAGACGAAAAGATTTTAGTATAGTTTCATTTTTGTAGTTTGAAATTTAGGTAAGTGGAAGAATCTATAAAGTCCAGGTCCTTCAGAATGAATGGCTGGATCCCTTAACTAAGAGCTGATTGGCTGAGAGCAGATTGGCTGAGAGCTGATTGGCTGAGAGCAGATTGGCTGAGAGCAGATTGGCTGAGAGCTGATTGGCTGAGAGCTGATTGGCTGAGAGCAGATTGGCTGAGACCTGATTGGCTGAGACCTGATTGGCTGAGACCTGATTGGCTGAGAGCTGATTGGCTAAGAGCAGATTGGCTGAGAGCAGATTGGCTGAGAGCTGATTGGCTGAGAGCAGATTGGCTGAGAGCAGATTGGCTGAGAGCTGATTGGCTAAGAGCAGATTGGCTGAGAGCAGATTGGCTGAGAGCTGATTGGCTGAGTGAGGGTGGTCCTCTAGTCTTCCCAATTTGGTTTAAAAAGAAAAGTTTTGAGAGCAAGGAACTAGCAGGATTAATTTAATGACATATTTGCATTTATCGTGGTTTTAAAGTTAAGTACCCCAGCTTTAAATCCCAACTCTGAACTATAAAACTTTAAAAAAGGTAAAATGACAAACTTCCCAATTGGCTACAGCAGAGAATCTTCTCAGCATCATCTGTGCCAAAATGTCTGTGCAACACTCGTAAATTCACTTTGAGTCATAGATTAGAACAATTTGTTTGAAATGGGAAATTACTTCTCATTATTTGGTAGATTTGGTAATTTACCCCTGAAATTGAGAACCTCAGGATTATTCTGGGACTGGTTTATGTGATTAGACTGGCGTTTATATGAATGGAGCGCTGATATTTTGTTTATATATAGTTAATAATGTTGTTAATATATATTTTATTTGGACTATTATCGTTCAGGAAGTGGGTGTAAACAGGGGAAGGTCTTTATTTTAATCTTTGTCAATGGTTTTATTGCACATATTTAAAGGGGTACATGCTGTGGCACTTTAACGGCCTTTAGTTTTGTGCAATGACATTGCGTTTGAAACATTTTTGGTTTTCTGATCCTTGTGACTTGTTCTGTCTCTAAATGTCGTGTATTTTTATGTTTTACTTTTGAAATGAGAGTAGTTTTACCTTTACCTTCCAGAGCAGAGGCAGCACTGGTTACCATAGCAACGATAATGTTTACTTGCTAGCAGTTAGCATTTGGTTAGCCTGTCAGTAGTAAAAGTGAGTGTAGGTTAAAAACATACAAATGACTTATTCTTATACTTCTGTCCAAAAAACTGAATATTCTTGGGGCAGTTTCTCAGATTTCCGTTGGTTCTAGTGTAGATTATTTAGATTTGAGCGTTTTCGCCCTTCTATCATCTCTGCTTTGTCGTTTACGAGATCCTTCCCTCGTCCACCTCTCGACTGCACGTGGAGCGTCCGCAATCGCTCCGTCTTTGGCTCGTGGCGTTTGGACTCTTGGCTTGTTCCTTGTTCTGGTGTCTCCTCCTGCAGTGAGGCCAGGCTCCAGCAGGGGGCAGTGTTCTCTCTCTCGCTGGGGCAGTCCCGTCACAGACAGGACTCGTGGGACTCCGTGTCGGTCTGCAGACCCCGGTGCTGCTCCGTGTGCGCCCCGTTGTGGAGCATCGAATACCTGGAGGAGACAGAACAGTGTTAGAGCCACAAGGATTTGGAGTTTTCCTGTCGATACAGGAGGGTCTGAGGCAGCCATGTCCAACCTCAGGCCCGGGGGCCAATAAAGGCCCTCAGTGTCATTTTATATGGCCCTCTGCCTTGCTAACCCAAAGTAGTCTTTGAGATCATAAACACAAGTTCACTGTGTGTTGTCTAACCCAACTTCAGCTCAGCCCATATAGACAGGACTCGTTCTAAAGTCCAGAACGTCTGGGATTCAGTCGTCGACTTGTGAGATGGTACACATTTGTCATTCAGCCAACTCCAGCTTCGTAAAAGATCTTTTTAAAGCTGAGAACAGCCCGATATAGGTCAAGACAGTTTTTCAGTCCGTGACGTCTGAGAACTAAAGTGACCCTGTTACTTAAATGTTTGGACACCCCTGGTCTAAGGACAGAGATGGAACATGGACCATGGACCATGGACCATGGACCATGGACCATGGACCATAGACCATGGACCACGGACCATGGACCACGGACCATGGACCATAACGATGTATTGAAAATGTGTCTTCAATTCAACCTTTACTTTAAGCCGTGAAAAGTTCCTGTCTGTGCCTGTTTTCCTGCATCTCCCTCTCTAACTAATGAGGCAAAAACACTTCCTGTCCCACGGGCCAATGCCACGCCCCGTTCGGGTCACATGACTTCAAACAAGCATTAGTCCGTCTTTGAGAGTCCAATAAAGAGCTAAAAACAAAACAACTGTATTATAAACTAATAAAACGCAATGAGGAGGGAGTGAATTTTACTAACTGCAAAATCATAAAAGCATTAGACTTTCTTGTGTCGTTACAAACTCAAAGTAAAATAATGTGAGTGTGAAAGTAAGTAAGGGTTTATTCATATAGCGCATTTTATAGACAAAGGTCCCCCAAATTTATGTAGATTTTAAATTATGCATGTTTGTTTTTGAGAGCCAAAGCTATTTCCTAGTTTGTGACGTCCTGTTACTCACATGGCAATAAAAAGGATTCTGATTCTGAAAGTACTTTACAAAGTTCAGATTTTGTTCCATTCTCTCCACACGGTGATGATGGAAACGAGTCGCCGAACACACCGGTCCATCAAAGCCTCCGACCCAACACCATCCACTCACTCACTACATTCAGACCTACTGTGCATGATTTTAGTGGTAGGTGAAACCGGAGCACCTGGAGGAAACCTAGACAGGCACAGGAAGAACATGTAAACTCCACTCAGAAAGGCCCTGTTCCGACCGGGATTCCAACCCAGGACCTTCTTGCTGAGAAGCGAGAGGGCTAACCACTCAGCCACCGTGCCGCCCGATGCAAAGATCCAAGTCAGATGTCCTTACTGAATAAAACATCTGATAAAAAGCTCTCTCTGCATTAGCTGTACCTCATATTTCTAAACATGTGACACTGGATCATCAAACCAAAGAGAGACTTAACGAGAAGAGTGGGTTTCTCCTTTTGTTGGACGTGTTTTTCATTTAAAGAAAAAACCCTGAAAGAGCCTTAATGTAAACTGCACGGTCTCGTTCCGCTCTCGCCTCGCCACGGTTTAAACTATTACCAGCTATTCACACAAACACGGCTCCGTAGACACTTCCTGCTGCTAAACCACCCGTGAAATGTTAGCCAGGTTCGTTTTCACTGTTTGGAAATGGCTCGGAGTGAAGAGGTGCAATGTGCAGGAGCAGAGAAAATGGAGGCCACATTGAGGTTGGGACCATAATGAGACCGGAGGATAATGGGAGATGTAAGCACACATAACGAGGAGTTTAAAGGAGAAATATGTAAGATTTTCATGTCAAGTTATCATTAAAGGGCCCTAATCTGTCATCATTAAAGGGCCCTAATCTGTCATCATTAAAGGGCTCTAATCTGTTATCATTAAAGGGCCCTAATCTGTTATCATTAAAGGGCCCTAATCTGTCATCATTAAAGGGCCCTAATCTGTCATCATTAAAGGGCCCTAATCTGTCATCATTAAAGGGCCCTAATCTGTCATCATTAAAGGGCCCTAATCTGTCATCATTAAAGGGCCCTAATCTGTTATCATTAAAGGGCCCTAATCTGTCATCATTAAAGGGCCCTAATCTGTCATCATTAAAGGGCCCTAATCTGTCATCATTAAAGGGCTCTAATCTGTCATCATTAAAGGGCTCTAATCTGTTATCATTAAAGGGCCCTAATCTGTTATCATTAAAGGGCCCTAATCTGTCATCATTAAAGGGCCCTAATCTGTCATCATTAAAGGGCCCTAATCTGTCATCATTAAAGGGCCCTAATCTGTCATCATTAAAGGGCCCTAATCTGTCATCATTAAAGGGCCCTAATCTGTTATCATTAAAGGGCCCTAATCTGTCATCATTAAAGGGCCCTAATCTGTCATCATTAAAGGGCCCTAATCTGTCATCATTAAAGGGCTCTAATCTGTCATCATTAAAGGGCCCTAATCTGTTATCATTATAGGGCCCTAATCTGTTATCATTAAAGGGCCCTAATCTGTCATCATTAAAGGGCCCTAATCTGTCATCATTAAAGGGCCCTAATCTGTCATCATTAAAGGGCCCTAATCTGTCATCATTAAAGGGCCCTAATCTGTCATAATAATAAACTGCTCTTTTCCAATTCTTCTTTAACTGATAACAGTAGTTCAGAGATATTTGAAATTCTAAATTACTTTTACCCTAAATCTTGTTATTGTTTTCATTCCGATGTCCCGCCCTCCACCGTTTCACCAATCAGAAAGTCTGTGATCCGGGCGCCAGAACTCACCGCGTGGAGCTAATGGTACTGGTAAAGTACCATGTGGCGCTGAACTAAAAAAGGTCTCGTTATGATTCTCAAATCATTAACGACAAAACAAGGAATAAAACCAGGATTTCTATCTTTGTGAAAAAGGTGTTGGTTATAGATTTGTTGTTGACAAAACTCTTGTCTATTCAGCTGTTATGGTCCCAGCTGGATTCGTCTGCATATCTGGCAACCTGAGTCAGGGAGAGTGGGAGAGGCTGCAGTACCACTTTTGGCCACATACTTCTCCTTTAAAGCTGGGTTATCTAACTTTCAGACCACTCAAAGACGTTTCCAAGTCAGGAAATCTGGCCAACTTGTTTTGAGCTGGGTTTTGTCCATAATTCTTACTTTTTCATAACGCTAAAGTTGGAGATTTTAGATATCTTTGTTATTATGCTAAAGCTAGAGACTTTAGGTATAGAGTTTAGAGTCTTTCAGCGGCTGCGTTTCTGAATCTGCTTCTCTCTGATCGACGCCCAAACATCTGCCACTGTCCGCTTTCTTCAATAAATTCAACAAAAATGCAAAAAATGGCGTCTTGACTTTTCCGTTGAGAGCGGCAGGTCCCCGTCATACTGTGGCTTTGGGGATTAGTCTTTTGTAAACTCATTATGGGATGTGCCTCGGTTTACGAAGAACCAAAGCTGCCAATCTCAGAGCAAACAAACAGCTTATTGGACGTTTTTTTATATTTTTTATTTTTTCACAAAATCAACTCAAATGAACTCGGGTTTGGGGAAAGTCTCTGTGATGACGCATATGTAAACAGTGACTTTGGATTCATTCATTGGAGCAGCAACTACACATTACAGTATTTATAATATTTACATGCCTTAGTTTATGAAGTTACTTTTGTAAAATGTTATGTTGCCCGCTGCGCTTACAGTAAATATACATACACATACAAATACATACATACATACAGTACATATACAATCAAGCAATGGTAGTTTCCATGGTTTTGTCACATACAGACAGGCACGTGGGACTTGCACTGACGTCTGCTGCCGTTGTGTCCCTGGGCAAGACGCTTAACCCCACTCTGGTGGATGTCTGTCTGTGGGAGTGGATGCCTGTCTGTGGGAGTGGATGTCTGTCTGTGGGAGTGGATGTCTGTCTGTGGGAGTGGATGTCTGTCTGTGGGAGTGGATGTCTGTCTGTGGGAGTGGATGCCTGTCTGTGGGAGTGGATGTCTGTCTGTGGGAGTGGATGTCTGTCTGTGGGAGTGGATGTCTGTCTGTGGGAGTGGATGTCTGTCTGTGGGAGTGGATGCCTGTCTGTGGGAGTGGATGTCTGTCTGTGGGAGTGGATGTCTGTCTGTGGGAGTGGATGTCTGTCTGTGGGAGTGGATGTCTATCTGTGGGAGTGCATGTCTGTCTGTGGGAGTGGATGCCTGTCTGTGGGAGTGGATGTCTGTCTGTGGGAGTGGATGTCTGTCTGTGGGAGTGCATGTCTGTCTGTGGGAGTGGATGCCTGTCTGTGGGAGTGGATGTCTGTCTGTGGGAGTGCATGTCTGTCTGTGGGAGTGGATGCCTGTCTGTGGGAGTGCATGTCTGTCTGTGGGAGTGGATGCCTGTCTGTGGGAGTGGATGTCTGTCTGTGGGAGGGGATGTCTGTCTGTGGGAGTGGATGTCTGTCTGTGGGAGTGGATGCCTGTCTGTGGGAGTGGATGTCTGTCTGTGGGAGTGGATGTCTGTCTGTGGGAGTGGATGTCTGTCTGTGGGAGTGGATGTCTGTCTGTGGGAGTGGATGTCTGTCTGTGGGAGTGGATGCCTGTCTGTGGGAGTGGATGTCTGTCTGTGGGAGTGGATGTCTGTCTGTGGGAGTGGATGTCTGTCTGTGGGAGTGGATGTCTGTCTGTGGGAGTGGATGTCTGTCTGTGGGAGTGGGGTGTCTGTCTGTGGGAGTGGGTGTCTGTCTGTGGGAGGGGATGTCTGTCTGTGTGGGAGTGGATGTCTGTCTGTGGGAGTGGATGTCTGTCTGTGGGAGTGGGTGTCTGTCTGTGGGAGTGGATGTCTGTCTGTGGGAGTGGATGTCTGTCTGTGGGAGGGGATGTCTGTCTGTGGGAGTGGATGTCTGTCTGTGGGAGTGGATGTCTGTCTGTGGGAGTGGATGTCTGTCTGTGGGAGTGGATGTCTGTCTGTGGGAGTGGGTGTCTGTCTGTGGGAGTGGATGTCTGTCTGTGGGAGTGGATGTCTGTCTGTGGGAGTGGATGTCTGTCTGTGGGAGTGGATGTCTGTCTGTGGGAGTGGATGTCTGTCTGTGGGAGTGGATGTCTGTCTGTGGGAGTGGATGTCTGTCTGTGGGAGTGGGTGTCTGTCTGTGGGAGTGGATGTCTGTCTGTGGGAGTGGATGTCTGTCTGTGGGAGGGGATGTCTGTCTGTAGGAGTGGATGCCTGTCTGTGGGAGTGGATGTCTGTCTGTGGGAGTGGATGTCTGTCTGTGGGAGTGGATGTCTGTCCGTGGGAGTGGATGTCTGTCTGTGGGAGTGGATGTCTGTTTGTGGGAGTGGATGTCTGTCTGTGGGAGTGGATGTCTGTCTGTGGGAGTGGATGTATGTCTGTGGGAGTGGATGTCTGTCTGTGGGAGTGGATGTCTGTCTGTGTGGAGTGGATGTCTGTCTGTGGGAGTGGATGTCTGTCTGTGGGAGTGGATGTCTGTCTGTGGGAGTGGATGTCTGTCTGTGGGAGTGGATGTCTGTCTGTGGGAGTGGGTGTCTGTCTGTGGGAGTGGATGTCTGTCTGTGGGAGTGGATGTCTGTCTGTGGGAGTGGATGTCTGTCTGTGGGAGTGGATGTCTGTCTGTGGGAGTGGATGTCTGTCTGTGGGAGTGGATGTCTGTCTGTGGGAGTGGATGTCTGTCTGTGGGAGTGGATGCCTGTCTGTGGGAGTGGATGTCTGTCTGTGGGAGTGGATGTCTGTCTGTGGGAGAGGATGTCTGTCTGTGGGAGTGGATGTCTGTCTGTGGGAGTGGATGTCTGTCTGTGGGAGTGGATGTCTGTCTGTGGGAGTGGATGTCTGTCTGTGGGAGTGGATGTCTGTCTGTGGGAGTGGATGTCTGTCTGTGGGAGTGGATGTCTGTCTGTGGGAGTGGATGCCTGTCTGTGGGAGTGGATGTCTGTCTGTGGGAGTGGATGTCTGTCTGTGGGAGTGGATGTCTGTCTGTGGGAGTGGGTGTCTGTCTGTGGGAGTGGATGTCTGTCTGTGGGAGGGGATGTCTGTCTGTGGGAGGGGATGTCTGTCTGTGGGAGGGGATGTCTGTCTGTGGGAGTGGATGCCTGTCTGTGGGAGTGGATGTCTGTCTGTGGGAGTGGATGTCTGTCTGTGGGAGGGGATGTCTGTCTGTGGGAGGGGATGTCTGTCTGTGGGAGTGGATGTCTGTCTGTGGGAGGGGATGTCTGTCTGTGGGAGTGGATGTCTGTCTGTGGGAGTGGATGTCTGTCTGTGGGAGTGGATGTCTGTCTCTGTGGGAGTGGATGTCTGTCTGTGGGAGGGGATGTCTGTCTGTGGGAGTGGATGTCTGTCTGTGGGAGGGGATGTCTGTCTGTGGGAGGGGATGTCTGTCTGTGGGAGTGGATGTCTGTCTGTGGGAGTGGATGTCTGTCTGTGGGAGTGGATGTCTGTCTGTGGGAGTGGATGTCTGTCTGTGGGAGTGGATGTCTGTCTGTGGGAGTGGGTGTCTGTCTGTGGGAGTGGGTGTCTGTCTGTGGGAGTGGATGCCTGTCTGTGGGAGTGGATGTCTGTCTGTGGGAGTGGATGTCTGTCTGTGGGAGTGGATGTCTGTCTGTGGGAGTGGATGTCTGTCTGTGGGAGGGGATGTCTGTCTGTGGGAGGGGATGTCTGTCTGTGGGAGGGGATGTCTGTCTGTGGGAGTGGATGTCTGTCTGTGGGAGGGGATGTCTGTCTGTGGGAGTGGATGTCTGTCTGTGGGAGTGGATGTCTGTCTGTGGGAGTGGATGTCTGTCTGTGGGAGTGGATGTCTGTCTGTGGGAGTGGATGTCTGTCTGTGGGAGTGGATGTCTGTCTGTGGGAGTGCATGTCTGTCTGTGGGAGTGGATGTCTGTCTGTGGGAGTGGATGTCTGTCTGTGGGAGTGGATGTCTGTCTGTGGGAGTGGATGTCTGTCTGTGGGAGTGGATGTCTGTCTGTGGGAGTGGATGTCTGTCTGTGGTAGGGGATGTCTGTCTGTGGTAGGGGATGTCTGTCTGTGGGAGTGGATGTCTGTCTGTGGGAGTGGATGTCTGTCTGTGGGAGTGGATGTCTGTCTGTGGGAGTGGATGTCTGTCTGTGGGAGTGGATGTCTGTCTGTGGGAGTGGATGCCTCTCCTTCTCTCTGAAGCATTTCCTCGCTGATGCAGGAGGGTCTGATACATTGAATTGAATTGACCACAGCCTTAAACCATCTGTGAAATTCCCTAAAAAGTTTTAAAAATTTGCCCATACGTTTTGAGTTTGGTTGATGACACACAGAAACCAAACATGTACATACAGACATACATTACCCCTTACTGGAAGAATAAATAGTACAAAGCTCAATTTTTGTAAGTAATTAAGTAATCTTTATTTAGAATCACAAAGCAATTATTACAATTGTTGTGGGCATTCGTCTCTCACTGCACACAGAGATGGGAGTGGGTACAGGAGTCTTAGTCTTCCCTGCTTTGTGAATCCATAGCTTTCCAAATCCATCGTCTGCATTCATATCCCTCTGTTCGTACCAAATTTCCCTTACACCAAACCATTACATGATTTTCCCCTTTAAAAACAAGACCAGCTACTGCCGATTTTATTGTGGTGCTTCATCCTCTTTTCTTACAGAAACAGGAAGAGCATTCACCATCTGCGATCTCTGGTCATTGCTAAAAAAGGGACAATCTTAACGGGCTGGAGTCAAGAAATGTGGTCTGATAAGAGAGGCAAATACAGGCTGAATATTGAAGACTATTGGAATCAGTGAGCTGGGAGGCACACAGGCCATCAACAGGGACGAGGGGGCCTTCACCTTGCCTCACACCTGGGACTTGCTTCTCCAGAAACCACAGCACATGGTGGAGGAAGTGGTCAGTCTGATGGATCTGCATGAGCGATCGGATTGGCCACATCCGAGAATAGCAGGTGGTAAGAGGCAGATCGTCCGTTTATTTTGCAGATCGCCAACGCATAAAAACGGACCGAAGTGATTTTAGCAATGGCCGAAACAGAGACCGACGGAGGGGGAAGCAAAACGGGGTTTCTTCCTCCTCATCACAGTCTATAATTACGATGTCATCACCTGGAGGATGTGTGACAAGCCTCTGGGGCTCCGTGGTCATAATTTTAACAGATGATTTTTCAGATTCTACCAGCTGTAATGTTTTAAAGCTGGCGTTGTTACAAAGTTGGATGTTCTTGATGGTCCCTTCATTTAATGGCAGTGGACTTTTCTTGGGCTGTTCAGTCTCATCCTGGGAGATGGTTGCTTCCAGAATTTTGGTGGGTCCTATAATGGGAGGACTTTCAGCTTCCGAATCCTTCTCCGGAGATTCATTGGACGTTTCTGAGCTTGATTGGCCATTCCCATCTTTGGCGATTTCACATGTCGGAAATGAGAGACTGTCAGATAAACGACTCTCCTCCTCAATGGAATTTTCAATGACAAACTTGTCATGACCAGGACTTTCTATTCCTGAATCCTCCTCTTGAGACTCAGTGGAACTTATTGTTTCTGAGGGTAGGAATGAACCATGTGAGGCAACGGGAACTGGAAAGATTTCACATGGTTTTGAGTGAATGTCATGTTCTTCAAATTCTGAATCTTCTTCACTAGAACTTGATGTTTCTACACTTTCGTCTTCCTTCCCTGAGGCCTCGTCATCAGAACTATCTGACGTGCCACTGCTTTTCGGTTTGTAGTCCAGTAGTTGCTCTGAATTTTCTACGTTGGCTAAAGCGGGTAGAAAGTGGCTCATGGTGATGAAGGGGTGAAGGAGCGCCTCAGCCGGAGTGATCCTTTTGTCTGGGTCCACCTCCAACATTTTCTTGAGAAGATCTAGGAAAACCTTTCTGTCCTCATGTTCAATACCAGAAGAGAATTCAAAAGTATTCAATATGACATCTTCTAAGTCGGAAGCAAACTCTAGTGTGTTTTTCTCCATTTCGGGGACGTTTCCCTTTGAGTCCCGGTATTCAAAGATCGATTTAAGTCGCCATTCCCCGGATTTCTCTTGAACAAAGAATCCAGTTCCCTCTTTAGCCCGAGTAATGAGGCCTGCATCGGGGACTCCCAACAGTTTTGTGATCTGTTGGAGGTGGTCATATGGGGATGCAACATTGAAAGGCAAAAATTGCAGAAAGCATTCCAGGAGACAGCAGCCAAGACCCCACATGTCCACGGCCTCGGACAGCGGCAGGCCAAGGGTCACTTCTGGGGCGCGGTAAGCTATCGGCTGTATCGAGTCCCCAATGTGCATCTCCTTCTTAAACTTTGCCACGCCAAAATCAATCAGTTTAACTTTGAACGGCTTTGCTTCCTGGTCCACAAACATGATGTTGTCCAGTTTGATATCAGTGTGAACGACACCGACGGACCGGAGACTTTCCAAAGCCACGAGGAGGCCTTTAGCCATGGGCCGGAGTTCTTTTAAAGAGAACGGTGCGTCTCTCTTCTCCATGAACTGGAGGACGTTCTGGTCCAACATTTCAAACTCCATGAAGTGGTCGCCATCAGCGGATCTGAAGCAGTTGTTCAAACGGATACAGTTGCTGGAGTCTGCATCCATGTCGCCGATGGTACTCATCATTTTGAGTTCACGAAGCCAGAAATATGACGCACGCTTCATGTTTTTTACCTGTTTTAGGGCCACAATTTCTCCTGTGCGTTTGTTGAGGGCTTTGTACACCTCGGCATAAACGCCTTCTCCCATTAATTCCAACAGGTCATACATAGTTTCTTTGTTCCGCTCGCTTGTTTTTGGATGCGACGGGATACAAGTTTTGCTACCTAGTTTGATGCTAACACAAGTTAACGGGCGCTAAGCTAAAATGCAAGTAGGACTCTCTTGAGTTTTACTTCAGCTGAACTGAACACACACATATGGCCTGATATCAATAGAACATCTGGATTACATCACCGGAATGCTTGGTGTCATAGCAACTGTCGCCGCGGAGTCAGGGCGGAAACACAATGGAACCCTAGAGGAAGGTTCTAGAATGCCATCGTAACGCAGAGAAATCCACCAAATCTACAATTATTTTTCAAGAATAAATATGATTTTACTTTTTATTTTGAGATGAATATTATTGATTCCTAACAATGAGTGATTTAAGTTGAATCAACAAAGACAAATAATTCAACTACTCTTCTAATTGTTTGGAACTAGGCCTGTCACGATAACACATTTTGTTGGACGATTAATTGTCTCAGAAATTATTGCGATAATATTGTCATTCTGATATAAATTTCATCTAATACAATGATAATGATGCAGGTACAGCTTTTCAAAGAGAAATAAACTTTTATTTTTTAAGACCACTGGCGGAAGTAGCGGTTGGGCTTTGATGCTAACAGAATTGAGCTAGCAACTTTTTGTGTAAGAGACTTTATATAACAGCAGTTTGTGTTCACGGAGGTGTGCCATAAGTTTATTATATTATCAAATGTTAGTTAGCTAGTTTTGTCACTTCTAGAGCCTGATTGAGAACTCAGGATGGCAGACTGTATGTTCACAAGTACTTTGTCCCCCATTATCAATCCTGGTTTAGTCCTGGTTTATTCCTGGTATAGGTCCTGTTTCGGCTGTATTTTGTTATTTCACTGCTCGTTAGACCGCTAATGTCCCTGTGACCACTTTGCGGCTCTCTGACCCGAGAGAGAACGGGAAAGAGAGAGACGTGGAAAACAAACAAGCATGAAAATAGAACTTATCGCGGCCAAAAAAATGATTGAGCTAATTTTAATTATCATGCGATTAATTGATTTATTGAACATGGCGACAGGCCTATTTGGAACCAAGATTTTAAGGCAGCCCTTGGAATAGGTTTTCTGCCATTTACAGTGTAGCTTTTAGTGGACTTTTGGGGGTGAATGAAACCGCTGTGTCTAGTAGTTTCCAGAGAGCTTTTTTTTATCTTTATTGAAGGGACAGTGTACAGAGATTAGGCTCAATAGCTAGTCTCCATCTGCAGTCCCTGGTTACACACAATAATACTGCTATACACACTATGGAGGTTCTCTATCAACCACACAACACTCACACATTCACTACATACTTGCTTTGTTATTATGCTAAAGTTAGAGTTAGAGTTTCCCCTGTAGGACGAATAAAGAATCCCTTCATCTTAGATAATAAAATCCAAATACCATATTTTCCTAAGTATAAATTGCATTTTTATATGGTCGTTTGATCCCTGCGGCTTATGTAGAGATGAGGCTAATATGTGTGTTTTTATTGTGGTAGCAGAGTTTATTTCCTTTTGCAAAAATCAAATGATCTTGTTTCACTCGTGTGGAAATCAAATGGAAGGAAGACAGAAAAATATATGAATAAGCAAGTGAATATATTTTTAGCATGGGTCTCTGGTCTCTCAGGTCTCTCTCTCTCAGGTCTCTCTCTCGTCTCAGGTCTCTCTCTCTCTCAGGCCTCTCCCTCGTCTCAGGTCTCTCTCTCTCTCAGGCCTCTCTCTCTCTCAGGTCTCTCTCTCTCAGAGATGATCGGTCACTTTTCAGGTCAGTGTGTGGGGCTTGTGTAGCCTGACTCTGGCCAGACCCATGTAGTTCGCTGCACTTCACACATGAGTCTGGTACTGAGCCATAGTGGTTGGATTTCAGAAGGCAGGGCTTGTAAAAAAAATCCTTATATGTGATTGGATAGACCACTTGTCCGTTATCTTGAATGAAGTCTGCTTTCAACCACTCACATCGAAGCACACGGCTCCCATAGGTTGCCAAATCCCAGCAAGATTTTCCAACCCAAAATCCGCGAGAATACCCAAAAAAAAAAACACTCAGAATGATTTTTTGGCTAAAAACGTGATGTAATCAACTTGGGCTATCATGATTCTGTTTATTGTCTTTCTGTTTATTTAATACCTACAAGTCTCTTGGAAAAAAATATGCGGGAACCACCAAACCTGGCAACCCTGCTGCATAGTGTGTAAACAGGAACACTGAACCAGTGCTTCAACCAAACTTTACAGGAACATTTAAAACACACATATATCAACATAGAACCATCAACATAGAACCATCAACATAGAACCATCAACATAGAACCATCAACATAGAACCATCAACATAGAACCATCAACATCTCGCCTCAAATTGCATTAAAAGTGACCTCCGTGTCTTAATTCGATCGTATTTACTCTTTTAAAAAGATTTGCTGACTTTACATCCGCCATCTTGGATTCCTCTCGCTGCTGCATGAGAGAAGCTTGAGAAGGCAGTGCAAACCCCACGTAACACCGGCAATCCTGATTGGTCGATTAAAAAATAATCTGGGGAAGGTGTTTGCTATGGCGTCGATACCAGACCCATGTGGTTCAGCCAAACGCCTCTGGTGGAGCATGGCGGAACTACAAGGGTTTGTATTAGGTAAGCAGAGAATGACATAAGAATGTGGACCAGCAGACAGAGAGTAACAGCGACACAGGACTCATTCTTAAATATAGCAAAAAGACAATATAGTTGTGTATTGACTTTTTTGTTTTTTTATTTATGGGGAAAAGTAAGGTAACCCAGCTTTAAAGGAGACATCCCCTGACTCTGGTCTCTATAACACGACATTCTTCCAACTCCATGGCTCTGTAAACATTGGAACACTATCTTTTCAATCCATAAACAGACTTACTTTTAGTGTTATTATCAAAGCTGTCCTCTGTGTCCACATGATCCTCAGCCTCTGTCCTCTGTGTCCACATGATCCTCAGCCTCTGTCCTCTGTGTCCACATGATCCTCAGCCTCTCTGTCCTCTGTGTCCACATGATCCTCAGCCTCTCTGTCCTCTGTGTCCACATGATCCTCAGCCTCTGTCCTCTGTGTCCACATGATCCTCAGCCTCTGTCCTCTGTGTCCACATGATCCTCAGCCTCTGTCCTCTGTGTCCACATGATCCTCAGCCTCTGTCCTCTGTGTCCACATGATCCTCAGCCTCTGTCCTCTGTGTCCACATGATCCTCAGCCTCTGTCCTCTGTGTCCACATGATCCGCAGCCTCTGTCCTCTGTGTCCACATGATCCTCCTCAGCCTCTGTCCTCTGTGTCCACATGATCCTCAGCCTCTGTCCTCTGTGTCCACATGATCCTCAGCCTCTGTCCTCTGTGTCCACATGATCCTCAGCCTCTGTCCTCTGTGTCCACATGATCCTCAGCCTCTGTCCTCTGTGTCCACATGATCCTCAGCCTCTGTCCTCTGTGTCCACATGATCCTCAGCCTCTGTCCTCTGTGTCCACATGATCCTCAGCCTCTGTCCTCTGTGTCCACATGATCCTCAGCCTCTGTCCTCTGTGTCCACATGATCCTCAGCCTCTGTCCTCTGTGTCCACATGATCCTCAGCCTCTGTCCTCTGTGGTCCATATGATCCTCAGCCTCTCTGTCCTCTGTGTCCACATGATCCTCAGCCTCTGTCCTCTGTGTCCACATGATCCTCAGCCTCTGTCCTCTGTGTCCACATGATCCTCAGCCTCTCTCTGCGACTGTAGTGAAACCTGGAGCCACTCGATGAGTTGCAATGATGCGTTTCACCTTCGAGTCTGTACGGTTTGTCCAAGACGAGATCGCTGAGGCGTGAGACCCACAGAGAGACAGACACAGAGACAGAGACACAGACAGAGACAGACACAGAGACAGAGACACAGACATGATCCTCAGCCTCAGACAGAGACAGACACAGATAGAGACAGACAAAGAAACCCACAGAGAGACAGACAGAGACAGACAAATATTAACTTAAGGATTTCTGTTATGAAAGTGGAAGTAGACGTGGTGTGAGAGACTTTGTGCAGGACTCAGAGCGATCGAGACGAACTGGGTTTCCATATTTTCTGAGAATGTGGAATCATGTGACATCACACAGCATTCCAGCAAGAGCCTAAAGTTGAAAAATAGGTGTTGGAGATGCAGCTGGTAATGATGGTACAGGTCTGATTTATAGTCTTAGTTTAGGGCTAATGCATTTAAATCCTGGGTCAATCCACAGATCCCATCAGATCTCTGAAGCTAAGCAGGGCAGGGTCTGGTTAGTACTGTGATGGGAGACCTCTGGGAACACCAGGCGCCACAGTGGGGGTTGTGCTTTTCAGGACTCTCAAAGACTGTTCACGTGTCATTATTCTTGCACTTCATACACAGGGGTGATACATTACTACAGTAGCCACAGCTGCCCTGGGGCACACTGACAGAAGCCAGGCACCCCGTACGCACTATTGGCCCCTCCCACCACCACCAACCATTCTCACACACACACACACACACACCAGACGCATTCTAATGTGGGGGAAGTGTCTTGCCTAACGACACAACCACGGTTTACAGAGGTCCCAGAGGTCTCCCATCACAGCACTAACCAGGCCCTGCCCCGCTTTGCTTCAGAGTTCTGACAGGAACAGGCTTTATCATGTGGCAGTGATGATAATATCCAAATAAGGATTTTGGAAACATTTGGATGATTGATTAATCTAAGTAGAAATTTCAAACATTAATATCAAAAACTTAACCGTAGAAATTTCTAACACTTTAGCAGCTCACACATGCTCCAAACACATTCTATTGTTACTCTTTTAGGTGCACTTTGGCTATTTATGCTTTAATCCCACGTGTGCTTTGAATGTTTTCATGTTAAATACTTGTGTGATTTTATTTGTTATGTTTTTCATTTTCTTGTGATCTCATTGTGTGTTTTTAATGCCCTGTGGGGTTTTAATAGTATTTCTAACTGTTATGTAGATTTTAATGTTTATGATTAATGCCTGATGTGATGTGGGTGTGAGGCGCTCTGTGTTTCCTTGTGTAGGAACGACGCTTTACTAATAATAATAATATAATAATGAGTTGATAGATTGATAAATGTGTGTTTTCTGCCTCGGCTTTGGGTAAAAGACTGAAATTTCAGAGTAAACAGAGAAATTGGCCTCCGTCATGCTGTAAACATGTGTGGGAGAGAATAGACTGAAGACCTGCTGTTCCAGCCTCTGCCCACTGCTAAAGAGAAAACGTTACTTTCACTATTTTAAGAACAAAACGTGCAAAGGTCGCTGCCTGGAAACGTATATGTCCATTTTGTGGAAACTCGGGCGTCAGAAGTGTTCATGTGTTTTTGTTTCAGGAACTTTTAATGTCCCCAAGATTATGACCAGAAATGTGTTGATTTACTGTAGTTTTCAAAGTAATCTTCTACAAACGCTGGCTCTGAACACACTGAAGATAAGATCAGACAGACTTTATTGATCTCTGATGGAGAAATGTACATGTCACATCTGCCATGGACAGAATCAGACTGTGCAAAAGAAAGAAGTTAAATGCAGGATATGTTATGTACAATAAAAAGTGGCAATCAAGAAACAGTGTCAATAGAAGTGCAGGGTTTTCAGTCCTAATGCAAGTGACTTAAAGTGACTTATTGTACAGTCTGACAGCGGTGGGGATCAAGATCCGGGACATCAAACCCTCTCAGGCATAATTACATTAGAATTTCTGCTCAAAAATACTTTATGAATGAGAGGAAACATCTGATTTTTGGGGACAATTATCATATGGGTTTGTAATATACAATCCTGACTATTTTCTTTTGAGAGAGACCCTCACAGGCAATGCATTCTGGGATGTTGCAGATCTACAACATTGGCCCACTGATCCCAGAGGAGATATGATCTACTAATTATCCTGTTCTGCTTCTCTACATATTCATCTTTCACTTTATGCAGTTTTGGTTCAAATGATCAGAGGTTGGTTTTGATACTGACTCGAAATTGATGCCTAGAAAATCTGTTTAGGTGAAACCGAGGAGTCTGACATCTTGGAAGTGAGACAGCGGCGCCCCCTGGTGGACAGGTGTAGAACTGCGTGCTGCTAAAGCTCAGTTCAGCAATGGTACTTCTGATTCTGAGCACCACCCACAGTCTGTGAAGCAACTCTCTCCTGCAGAGACGAGACAGAGCGTCTGACAGGTTCAAGGGCTTCCTCAACATACTGTATAACAACACTTTTCCAGAGTTTACTAAGAGTTTTCTTTCAAGTTAGGTACCCCAGCTTTACTTAAACCTCAGCCTTCTGGTTCCTCTGTTGCTCTAACAATCATGATAACAGACTTCTTCCAAAAACAGCAGCACTAAAGACAACAGCGCAAATATTCAGGACATAGAACAAGACTTTTTTGGCCCAAATCCACAGTATTAAATCAATCTAGTATCTAAGTAAACAAAAATATCCAGGTAGTATTGTGTAGTATAATCTGTCATTTGAGTACTACTGTAGATAGATAAATACTGCAGAGGAGTATGGTTTGTTTGACTGTATGTTTCTGTATTTTGCTCATGAAAGTTCAGGCAGACGCAGACTTTGGGATGAGCTCATATTTGCATCATTCCCGTCGTTGCCGCAGGTGTTGGAGAAGTTTGAAGGCGGAGCCAGAAGAAAGAAATGCTGCTTCACAAGAAAAGAAACGGAGCAGACAGAAGAGCGGGAGTGAAGCCTGTGCCAACTCAACCCGCCGGGATCGAAACAGCAAAACAGCGACTCTGAACGCAGAAAAGTCAATATGAGGTGAGAAACATTTATATAATTACTTCATATTTGAATTCAGACTGTGCCTTTTATATCGTCAACAAACATGTGAACAGCCAATCAGAACGGCTTATCATCTAAAGACATGACAGAGAAAAACACAGCTATAAAACAAAATAGGTAAACGCGTGTAAAAATTGTTTGTTTCTTCAAATAAAAGGCAAAATTATAAAAGATAAGAAAAGAAAAGATATGACGTATTGATTTCTCTGATGGAGAAATGAACATGACACATTTGGCAGAGATATAATCACTCAGATTTGTGCAAAAGACAGAAGTGTGCAACATGTTTAAGGTTAAAAATATATATATACTGTAGTCTGGGCAGGAAATATTTATGTGGAATAAAAGAAAGTGGCAATAGCATAAAAGCAAAGTCTACCCTCAGAGTTCAAGACGTATTTACAAACTAACAATGCAGGTGATATATACAAATAAATGCAGGTAATTGTTGGGCGTGGTTGATCTTTGCTCGTGTGTGTGTTGCGTTTGTTTGTGCAGATGGAAAACATGAATGTCCCAAACTGGCTGAGCTGCTTTCACATGTTAGCGTTAGCATCAAAACTGAGTGATTCATGAAAACACTTGTCTCTGGGAGGTTTTTTCTGTGTGCCGCGGCTCTAACGCACGTGTTGGGAGTGCTCCTGGAAAGATGAGTGCACCGGGTGTGTAGAAGGTATTCAGACGTCAGGTGGGACGCCAGAAGGTAAGCAGGGCAGGGCCTGGTTAGTGCTGTGATGGGAGACCACTGGGAAACAGCAGGTGACACAGTGGGGCGGCTGTAAACTACCAGACTGAGGTTGTGTTTGCAAGACACTTTACCCACATTGTCTGGAGTCTGGTGTGTGTGTGTGTGTGTGTGTGATTGTTGTGGCCGGAGGGGCTGAGGGTATGAACTGATTGTCTTGCTTGTGTCAGTGTGTCCCAGGGCAGCTGTGGCTACAGTAGTAGTTTATCGCCACCGTGTTTGGAGAGAAAGAATAATGGATAGATACTTTATTGAACCCTGTTGGAGAAATGCAGGTGTCCAGTAGCAGCAGAAACACATCCATCCAAACAAACAAATCAAATAAATAGATTGGTCTAAAACTAGTCTTTGAGTGTGCATTAAAGCGCTGTGTAAAACCAATTATTATTATTATTATGAATCACTAAATCCATGAGCCACATCTCTTCTGTCTGCAGCAGGGCGACTGCCGGTGTCATAATGACAAAAAACTCTGCTCCTCTGAGACGGCACAGTGGCTGAGTGGTGAGCACTCTTGCAAGAACGTCATGGGTTTGAATCCCGCTCAGAACAGGGTCTTTCTGAGTGAAGTTTGCATGTTCTCCCGATGTCTGCGCAGGTTTCCTCCGGGCGCTCTACTAAAAATATGAGGTAAAATCCTCCAGCTCTGGTCCTGACCAAGCCGAGCATCAACATCTGGAGATGGGTCCTGGCCGTTACTACGGCGACCACTGCTTCTGACGGAAGCCTTAGCGGTTAATAAAGTGCACCCTTTGATACTTGCTCCAGGTGTCGCTTAGGAAGAAGAATTATTTAAGACTGTCAATACTTCAAATACACTACATGTATTTCTGAACATCAACGCCAAATATAATCCAAAATAAGCTTGTGTTGATGCTCTTCGATAACACTACAATCTTCTGAATCTGTCTGCAGCATGGCGAGTGTGAGCTTTGCCACGTCTGAAGACCAGTTCCTGTGCTCCATTTGTCTGGAGGTCTTCACGGACCCGGTGACCACAGCGTGTGGACACAGCTTCTGCTCCTCCTGCCTCAACAAGCACTGGGACGTCTCCGAGAGCTGCCTCTGCCCTGTCTGCAACGAGGAGTTCAGCTCAAGACCAAACTTAAAGATCAACAGGTTTATGTCCGAGATGCTGAGCGAGTTGAAGAACAAACCGGGCTGCAGACCAGAGCTGGGGGCAGCAGAAGCAGGAGCTGTTGTGTGTGACGTGTGTCCAGATGTAAAGCTGCAGGCGCTGAAGTCCTGCCTCATGTGCCACATGTCCTTCTGCTCGCTCCACCTGCAGCCTCACCACACTTTGCCCCGTCTGCAGAGGCACCAGCTGATCCGGCCCGAGCACGACCTGGACCAGCTCATCTGCCCAGAGCACGATCGCCCTCTGGAGTTCTACTGCAGAGACCACCGCCAGCCCATCTGCGTCCTGTGCACCTACACCCTGCACAAAGACCACCACACTGTCCCACTGAAGGAGCAGTGCGAGGCCCAGAAGAAAGACCTGCAGCAGAAGATTCAGGAGAGAAGAGGCAAAGTGCTGGAGCTGCAGAGCTCAGTGGATCTCAGTCTCACCAAGGCCAACGCCGAAGAGGAAGAAGGAGTCCGATTCTTCAACGACATCATCAAAAGTGTTCAACAAAGTATGGTTCAGTTCAGACAGAGCATTGAAAAGAAGCATGAGGAAGTGAAGGAGGATGCAGAAGGGTTAATGGCAGATCTACAGTCGGAAATCTCTGAGTTGGAGCTGAGGCAAAAGGAGATGGAGGAGGCATTGAACTCCGACAACCATTTAGATTATATACAATTCTTTACTTCAGTCAAACCTGCTCCAGAGCTGAATGACTGGACAGAAGTCTCTGTTCAGGTTCCATCGTACAAAGGCAGATTTGACATAGCTCTGTCTGAGTTAAAGATCAAACTGTTTCCAAAGATAAGGATCGCTGTCGAGAAAGCACTGAAACAGGCAAAGAAATACTCAGTCGAGGTGACTCTAGACCCACTCACAGCCCATCCCAACCTACACCTGTCCCTCCGTAATAAACTCGTTCTTTGCAGTCCCCAAGTAAATCCTCGAGTAGACAACCCTCAAAGGTTTTCAAAATTGTACAATGTTTTAGGAAAAGAAAAGTTTTCCGCTGGTCAGTTTTACTTTGAGGTTCAAGTCAAAGACAGACCACAGTGGTTCCTCGGCGTCACTGAAGGAGATGCTAATAGGAAACTGAAACCTGACGACTTAACTCCTGAAAATGGATACTGGGTCAAGGCCGGTGGGAATCAAAGGAACCGTTGGTCTTCTACAGAAAAGGTCGGTGTGTTTGTGGACTACGACGAGGGTCTGGTCTGTTTCTTTGACACAGAAACATCAACAATCGTGGACTCCTTCACTGACTGCTATTTTCGCACAGACGTCCTTCCACTGCTCAGTCCTGGATGGTGCCATAACGACAAAAACTCTGCTCCTCTGATCCTTACACCGGTGGTTGCTTAATGTTGAAGGGAGAGAAAAAGACCAACACTTCAGAAACACCACATGTGAAAGTCTGAACATCAAGCAAAGCAGTTTTTGTAACAAACTGGACCTTGCACACGCAATTTAATCCAGAATAAGCTTTAGTTAATGCTCTTTGATGACTTGATCAACACTGCCATCTCTTCACACAATTATCAAGGTAGATAGTTAGATAGATACTTTATTTATCCCCTGTAGGAGAAATTCAGGTGTCCAGCAGCAGAAGACTCATCCAGGTTTGTTATACAGTCTGACAGCCGAAGGAACAAAGGATCTCTTGAAACGTTCCGTTCGGCAGCGTAGTGATAGGAGCCTGTTGTTACTCCTCTGAGCGGCCATAGTGTCATGCAGAGGGTGTCTGGAGTTACCCAGGATGCACTGCATTGGAGCCCCTTCTCTCCAGCACAGCTCCCACAGAGTCCACACTTTTCCCCATCACAGAGACACATTTCCTGATCAGCCTGAGCCGGTCAGACTGCCCCAAACACGCAACCCTGAAGAACACGGCACTAGCTACGGACTGCCCCCAACACGCAACCCTGAAGAACACGGCACTAGCTACGGACTGCCCCAAACACGCAACCCCGAAGAACACGGCACTAGCTACAGACTGTCCCCAACACGCAACCCTGAAGAACACGGCACTCGCTACAGACTGGTAAAATACGTGCAACATTTCACAGCTCACATCAAAGGACCTCAGTTTTCTCAGAAAGAAAAGTCTGCTCTGACCTTTCTTGTAGATGGCATTGGCCTGAGCTGACCAGTCCAGTCTGTGGTCCAGGTGGACTCCCAGTCCAGTCTGTGGTCCAGGCTCCCAGATACTTGTAGGACTGAACCACTTTGATGTCCTGTCCTTTTACTGTGACCGGTCGATGGGAAGGGCTCCTGTGAAAGTTGATGATCATCTCCTTGGTCTTGGCCCATTAAGAATGAGTCTACCCTGGTCTTATCCATCTGTACTCTCTGGTCCATCATCATGTCCTGCATGTAACGTCTGGGTCTGGTCCCTGTGTTTGCGATTATATCGGCAGGATTCCATCCGACCAATCAGAGAGCGCGGGAGACGGGTGTTGTAGTTAGATGTGGCTGACGTCAAGAGTTTGCGCCGAACGGGCAGGTTGTAGTTCGGCAATGGCAATGAAGAATGCCATAGTAAAGTAATCCGGTCTGGTTCTATCAAGAAATTGAAGCCGGAGCAAGAAGAATGTTTAGCAAAAGTCATTTTTGGCAAATATTGTGGGGCTACTCTCCACAGGCTCCGTTAGTGGCAAAGGAGATGGCTAAAGCTAGGCTAAATGCATCACTCACTCGGGCTCATTACAAACGTCACAGTAAACTCAGATCCAATGGTTTCAATCTGCAAAAGGAGTTAACCCCTCCCACCTGTTAACGGAGTCAAGGGAGCAAATCCAGACCGTCGTGTGAAATGTAATTTGTACTATGGTGTGGTACGACCAGGCTAGAATCAGTCCATTTCTCTCACTCCAGTCTGAGGAGGCAGCCCCCACCTCCCTGAACAGAGATTGACAGAGGTTCTGGACATTTCTCAAAAGTCTCCTCAGACCAAAATACTCAAAGAGGGTGACGACACAGTAATCTTCAAGTCTCTCCATGTCCATATTTATTTTATATATTTGAATAATATAATGATGCCTTCAGGGCCTTGTTTTCAGGCTCCAGCTCAGAAATCAAATCCTGTTTTCCAGTTTGTTTGTGCCATAAAACTGTCTGAAACTGACTTGTGGGAACTGTGTGTGTTTTCTTGTATTGTTTTGAACTTATATTGTAACCTGCTGCTGTGTTGTACTGTGGAATCAATAAAGTTTTCTGAATTTGAATGGGTCAATGAGTCGTTCCAAGTCGTGAGAGAGACAAAGGGAGGTAACGTCTTCTCATCAAGAATCAACAAAGGAAAACGAGCACATTTCCATTTTGGCAAAACAGATTTTTCCAAACACACAACAACAATAATGGAAGCTGGAAAAACCACTGACCACAAGTTTCTTTGTTACTGACGAGCAGTCGACAAAACCAAAGCTGCAGAAGAAAGTTGCAAAAGTATTTATAGCACAAGTCTACAACAATCTATGATAAAACTCAATGTAATATAAAGTAGATATTTAAGAAAAGAACGTCCAAACAAGTGGCATTACACAATTTTAATACCATTGGTCACAACATCTATTCAATTCAAACTAGCTTCTTCATGTGGAATCATCCTCTTGGTGTCTTTCCCTGTTCTGTGATTGGTTCCCTAATCCATGCAAACAAAACTGCCAGGGTTTCCTAGTTCGAAACAATTTGAGCGCACACAGCAGCATGGGGATGAGGCGACAAGCATTTCTGGACGCAGAAATACTCTAATCCTCTGCAGAAATACTCTAATCCTCTGCAGAAATACTCCAATACTCTGCAGAAATACTCTAATCCTCTGCAGAAATACTCTAATCCTCTGCAGAAATACTCTAATCCTCTGCAGAAATAATTTAATACTCTGCAGAAATAATTTTATACTCTGCAGACATACTCTAATACTCTGCAGAAATACGCTAATACTTTGCAGAAATACTCTAATACTCTGCAGAAATTCTTTAATACTCTGCAGAAATACTTTAATACTTTGCATAAATACTCTAATACTCTGCAGAAATACTCTAATACTCTGCAGAAATACTCCAAAACGTTGCAGAAATAATTTAATACTCTGCAGACATACTCTAATACTCTGCAGAAATACTCTAATACTTTGCAGAAATACTCTTATACTCTGCAGAAATACTTTAATACTCTGCAGAAATACTTTAATACTTTGCATAAATACTCTAATACTCTGCAGAAATACTTTAATACTCTTCAGAAATACTCTAATACTCTGCAGAAATACTCCAATACTCTGCAGAAATACTCTAATCCTCTGCAGAAATAATTTAATACTCTGCAGAAATAATTTTATACTCTGCAGACATACTCTAATACTCTGCAGAAATACGCTAATACTTTGCAGAAATACGCTAATACTTTGCAGAAATACTCTAATACTCTGCAGAAATTCTTTAATACTCTGCAGAAATACTTTAATACTTTGCATAAATACTCTAATACTCTGCAGAAATACTCTAATACTCTGCAGAAATACTATAATACTCTGCAGAAATACTCTAATCCTCTGCAGAAATACTCTAATCCTCTGCAGAAATACTCTAATCCTCTGCAGAAATAATTTAATACTCTGCAGACATACTCTAATACTCTGCAGAAATACTCTAATACTCTGCAGAAATACTTTAATACTCTGCAGAAATACTTTAATACTTTGCATAAATACTCTAATACTCTGCAGAAATACTTTAATACTCTTCAGAAATACTCTAATACTTTGCAGAAATACTCCAATACTCTGCAGAAATACTCTAATCCTCTGCAGAAATAATTTAATACTCTGCAGAAATAATTTTATACTCTGCAGACATACTCTAATACTCTGCAGAAATACGCTAATACTTTGCAGAAATACTCTAATACTCTGCAGAAATTCTTTAATACTCTGCAGAAATACTCTAATACTCTGCAGAAATACTCCAAAACGTTGCAGAAATACTCTAATACTCTGCAGAAATACTCTAATCCTCTGCAGAAATACTCTAATCCTCTGCAGAAATAATTTAATACTCTGCAGACATACTCTAATACTCTGCAGAAATACTCTAATACTTTGCAGAAATACTCTAATACTCTGCAGAAATACTTTAATACTCTGCAGAAATACTTTAATACTTTGCATAAATACTCTAATACTCTGCAGAAATACTTTAATACTCTTCAGAAATACTCTAATACTCTGCAGAAATACTCTAAAACTCTGCAGAAATACTCCAAAACGTTGTAGAAATACTCTAATACTTTGCAGAAATACTCCAAAACTTTGTAGAAATACAATACTCTGCAGAAATACTTTAATACTTTGCAGAAATACTCTAATACTCTGCAGAAATACTTTAATACTCTTCAGAAATACTCTAATACTCTGCAGAAATACTCTAAAACTCTGCAGAAATACTCCAAAACGTTGTAGAAATACTCTAATACTTTGCAGAAATACTCCAAAACTTTGTAGAAATACAATACTTTGCAGAAATACTTTAATACTTTGCAGAAATACTCTAATACTCTGCAGAAATACTCTAGTACTCTGCACTTGCTTGAGAAGGAAGAAAATATCTGTGACGTGACAAAATCGAGGAGATGAGGATTATTCTCTGATGTGAGACCAGATGAAGCTGCTAAATCGTAGCTGGAGGAAAATAGTTTTTAAAGTAAATGTTGCATAATATGTCCTGTATGTATTCACTGAAGCACACAGACCAGAGTCAAAGCGGTTTACAATTGTTACATTGGTCTCTCTCTCCAGACAGAAGTCCCTCTCCCTCCTCTCTCCCCCCTCTCTCCTTTCTTCCTCCTCTCTCCCCTCTCTCCTTTCTCCTTCCTCTCTCCCCTCTCTCCCCCTCTCTCTCCCTCCTCTCCCCTCTCTCTCTCCTCTATCACCCCTCTCTCTCTGGTTTCTCCCCTCTCTCCCCCTCTCCCCCCCCCCCCCCCCCCCCCCCCCTCCTCCCTCTCCCCCCCCCCCCCCCCCCCCCCCTCCCCCCTCTCTCCGCACAGTGGAAACGGCCTGAGCCTGGAGGCAGAGTGTTCTGGATGTGAGACTGGCAGAAGCACTGAACAAACAGAGGTTAATCAGGACGAGGCCCAGAGAAAAGTCTGGAGATGGTTCTGAGGCTTGGTTCTGAGACTTGGTTCTGAGACTTGGTTCTGAGACTTCCAAAAGACGAGCTCGACTTTTCCACTTTCCACAAATCACACACATTTACTTTAACAAATGGGACGAAGAGTCAAACACAACAAGGAAGTCCAACAACAGCTGTTTTCTGCATTACAGAAGTTCTTTTTATGGGTTTTTCAAGCTGTAAATGTGAGTTTTACACTGATCCAGAGCAGAGGGAGCACGGTCTGAACCAGACAGATCAGGCGGAACATGCTAGTAAACATAACATGCTAACATGCTAATAAAGCATTCAGAATTTCACTCTGAACCAGAGCAGGAAAAATGGTCCAAACCAAACACACTCCACAGACATCGGTCAGAGCAGCTCCTCACCAACGGCTCTCTCTATGTATCTATCTATCTCTCTCTCTCTATGTATCTATCTATCTCTCTCTCTCTATGTATCTATCTATCTCTCTCTCTCTCTTCTCTCTCTATGTCTATGTATCTATCTCTCTCTCTCTCTTCTCTCTCTCTTCTCTCTCTATGTATCTATCTATCTCTCTCTCTCTCTCTTCTCTCTCTCTTCTCTATGTATCTATCTATCTCTCTCCTCTCTCTCTCTGTATGTATCTATCTATCTCTCTCTCTCTCTCTATGTATCTATCTATCTCTCTCTCTCTTCTCTCTCGGTATCTATCTATCTCTCTCTCTCTTCTCTCTCTGTATCTATCTATCTCTCTCTCTCTCTTCTCTCTCTACAGTATGTATCTATATCTCTCTCTGTATCTCTCTCCTCTCTCTCTGTATGTGTCTATCTCTCTCTTCTCTCTGTCTATCTCTCTCTGTATGTGTCTATCTCTCTCTCCTCTCTCTCTGTATGTGTCTATCTCTCTCTTCTCTCTCCTCTCTCTCTCTGTATGTCTCTATCTCTCTCTTCTCTCTGACTCTCTCTCTCTGTATGTGTCTATCTCTCTCTTCTCTCTCCTCTCTCTCTCTGTATGTGTCTATCTCTCTCTCCTCTCTCTCTGTATGTGTCTATCTCTCTCTCCTCTCTCTCTGTATGTGTCTATCTCTCTCTTCTCTCTCCTCTCTCTCTGTATGTGTCTATCTCTCTCTTCTCTCTCCTCTCTCTCTGTATGTGTCTATCTCTCTCTTCTCTCTCCTCTCTCTCTGTATGTGTCTATCTCTCTCTTCTCTCTGACTCTCTCTCTCTGTATCTATCTCTCTCTCTCTGTATCTCTCCTCTCTCTCTCATGTTTCAATGACGCATGCCCTAAATAACAATAATTATTTTTGCTTTTCAGGAAACTCAAAGACGGTTCACGTGTCACTGTTCTTAGAACCAAGGAAACGAGTTGTGCCATTGGGCCCTCTCACCACCACCAACACCTCCCACCACCACCGCCAACACCTCCTAACAACACCACCTCCACCAACACCTCCCACCACCACCGCCAACACCTCCTAACAACACCACCTCCACCAACACCTCCCACCACCACCGCCAACACCTCCTAACAACACCACCTCCACCAACACCCCTCCCACCACCACCACCCACACCTCCTAACAACCCCACCCCACCAAACACCTATCCTACAACACCACCCCCACCACCACCCACCACCTCCTACCCACAACACCCCAACACACAACACCACCACCACCCTCACCCACACCACCCACACCACCCCCACCACTCTAAACCACACCACCACCACAACACCTCCTCACCCCACCACCACCCCCACCCCACCACCCCCCCACCCCCCCACCCCACACCACCCCCACCACCACCCCCACCACCCCCCACAACCCACCCACCTAACACCAACCACCCCCACACACCACCCACCACCCACCACCCCCCAACCACTCACCAACACCACCCACCCCCACACCAACACCACCACCCCACCTCCACCCCCCACCCACACACCACCGCCAACACCCTCCACCCACCACCACCATCCACCACACCTACCCCACCACCACACCAACATCCACCTAACACACCTCACCCCACCACACCACCAACACCTCCCACCACCACCCCACCGCCAAACCTCCTAACCAACACCAACCCTCCACCAACACCTCCCACCACCACCAACCACCCCACCCCACCACCACCAACACCTCCACACCCACACCACCACCACCTCCACCCCCCCCACCACCACCCACCCGCCAACACCTCCTAACAACACACACCCCACCCACCAACCAACCCACCCACCACCACCCTGCCACACCACCATCCAACACCCACACCCACCACCCACCAACCCACCTAACCCAAACACCACCCACCACCACCCCCCAACCCTCCCACAACCAACCGCCAACCACCACCTCCCACACCCACACACCACCACCCACCACACCCACCCACACCACCCCCCCCACCCCCCCACCAACCACCCCACCCACCACCCCCCCCACACCCACCACCCACACCCACCCACACCCCACCCACCACCCCCCCCCAACCCCACCAACCCACCCACCCCCACACCCCCCACACACCCACACCCACCCCACACCCAACACCCCCACCACCACCCCACAACCCCCAACCACACCCCACCCACCCCCAACACACACCCACACCACCCCACACCAACCACCAAACCCACACACACCACCACCACACCCAACCCCCCACCACCCACCAAACACAACCCACCCCACACCCACCCCACCCCACCAACACCCACACCCCCCCCCCACCACCCCCACACCACCCACCACCACCCCCCCACCCCCCACCACCACACCCCACCCACCCACCCCACCCCCACCACCACCCACCACACCCCACCACCACCCCCACCACCCCCCCCACACCCCCACCCACCACACCACACCACCCCCACCACCCACCCAACACCCACCCCACCCAACCCACCCCACACACCCACACACCCACACCCACCCCACCAACCCACACCACCCACCACCCACACCACCCCAACCACACCACACCCCCCCCACCCCACCACCCACCACACCCACACCAACACCCACCCCCACCACCCACCCACCAACCCCACAACCACCCACCCCCAACACCCCACCCCACCACACCCCACCCCCCAACCACCACCCCACCCACACCCCACCACCCCACCACCCACCACCCCCACCCACCAACCACACACCCCCCCACCCCCACCACCCCACACCCACCCCACACACCCCCAACCCCCCACCAACACACCCACCACACCCACACACCCACCAACCCACACCCCCCCACACCAACCCCCCCACCACACACCCCACACCCACCCCACCCACACCCACACACACCCCCACACCCACCACCCAACACACCCCCACCACACCCCCACCACACCAACACCACCCCACCAACCACCCCCACCCACCCCACACCCACCACCAACCACCCCCACCCACAACACCCCACCACACCCCCAACCACCACCACACCCACACCACCCCCACCACCCCACCCCCCCACCCACCCACCCCACCACCCAACCCACACCCAACCCACCCACCCCACACCCCACACCCACCACCCCACACCACACCAACCCCACCCACACCCCCACACCACCACACCACCCACCCACCACCCACACACCCCAACCACACCCACCACCACACCCCCCCCACCACCACCACACCCACCCACACCCCCACCACACCCACACCCACACCAACCCCACACAAACCACACCCACCACCACACCCACCCACACCACCACACCCCACCCACCACACCCCCCCACCCCAACACACCACCCACACCCCCACACCCAACACCCCACCCCCACCACCCACCCACACCCACACCCACACACCACCCCCACCACCCACCACCCCACCACCACACCCACCACCCACCACACCACACCCACCCCCACCCCACACCACCCACCCCACACCACCCACCCCACCCCACAACCACCCCACCACCAACCACACACCCCACCCCACCACCCACCCCACCCCACCAACCACCCCCCACCACCCCCAACCCACCACACCCACACCACCCCCCACACCACCACCCACCCCCACCACAACCCCCACCCCACCACCCACCACCCCACCCACCCCACCCCACCCCACCACCCACCCACCCCCAACCACCCCCACCCCCACCACCCCACCAACCACACACCCCACCCCACCCCACCCCCACACCACCCCCCACCCCCACCACCACCCACACCCACACCCCCCCCAACCACCCACCACCCCCCCCAACACCCACACCACCCCAACCACACCCACCCCACCACACCCACCACCACCCACCCACCCCCAACCACCCCCAACCACCCACCACCCACACACCCAACCCCACCACCCACCACCCCACCACCCACACCCACCAACCCACCCACACACACAACCACACCCACACCACCCACCCACCCCACACACCCACCCACCCCACACCACACCCCCACACCACAACCCACCCACCACCACCCCCCACCACCCACACCCACCCCAACCCCCACCACCCCACCACACCCCCACCCACCCCCCACCCACCACCCACCCCCAACCCACCCCCCACCACCACACCCCCACCCCCACCACACCACCACCCACACCACCCCCACCCCCACCCAACCCCCACCCACCACCCCACAACCACACACCCACCCCCCACCCACACCCCCACCACCACCCACCCCACCCCCAACCCCCCACAACCACCCACCACCACCCCCCCCCACACCCCACCCCCCACCAACACCCCCCCCACCACCACCCACCCCCACCCCACCCCACCACCACCACACACCCCACACCCCACCACACCCCCACACCCACCCACCACCCACCCACCCCACCCACCCCCACACACCCACACCCACACCAACCACCCACCCCCCACCCACCACACCCCAACACCCCCCCACCACCCACCCACCCCCACCCACCACACCCCACCACCCACCCCCACACACCCACCCCCCACCCAACACCCCACCACCCCACCACCCACCCCCCCACACCCCACCAACACCCCACACCACCCCACCCACCCCCCACCACACACCCACCACACCCCCACCACCCCACACCCACCCACCCCAACCACCCCCACCACCAACCACACCACCACCCACCCCACACCCCCCCACCACCACCACACCCCACACACCCACCAACCCACCCCACACCCCCCCACCAACCACACCCCCACCACCCCACACCCCACACCCCACCCACCCCCACCACCACCAACCACCCCACACCCCACCCACCACCACAACCACCACCCACACCACCACCCACCACCACCCCCCACACCCCCCCACACCCACCCACACCCACACCAACCCACACCCACCACCACCCACCCCACCACACCCCACACCCACCCACCACCCCACACAACCACACCCCACCCCACCCCACCCCCACCCACAACACCACACACCCCACCCCACCACCACCCCCACCCAACACACCCACCACCCACACCACCCCACCCCCACCAACCACCCACCCCACACCACCAACCACCCCCACAACCCCCCACACCACCCACCCACCACACCACCCACCACACCACCCCACACCCCCCACCCACCCACACCCACAACCACCACACCCCACCCACCCACCCACAACCCCCACACCACACCAACACCACACCCCCCACCAACACCCCCCACCAACCCACAACCCACCACCCCCACCACCACACCCCCCCACACCACACCCAAACCACCCCAACCCCCACCCACACACCCCACCCCACCCACACCACCACACCCACCCCACCACCCACCACCCACCAACCCACCACCCACCCACCACCACCCCACCACCCACCACACACCAACACCCCCCACCCACACCACCCCACACCAAACCCCACCACCCCACCCCCACACCCACACCCACCCACCCACCACCACCCCCACACCCACACCCACCCCAACCCCCACACCACCACCCACCCCCACCCCACACCACCACCCACACACCCACCACCCACCACACCACCACCACCCAACCCCCCAACCACACCACACCCACCACCACCCCCCCACACCCCCCAACCACACCCACCACCACACCCCACAACCACACCACAACCCCACCCACCACACCAACACCACACCACCCACCCACCCCACCCACCCAACCACCCCCACCAACCCACAACCACCACCAACCACCCACCACACCACCCACACCCCCACACCACACCCCACACCACCACACCCCCACCCAACCCACACACCAACCACCCCACCACCCACACACCACCCACACCCCACCACCCACACACCACCCACCCCACCACCCACACCACCCCACACACCCCACACCCACCACCCCACACCACACCCACCACAACCACCCCACCCACCCCACACACACACCCCCACCCACCCACCACCACCAACCCCACCAACCCCACCCCCACACACCACCCACACCACACCCCACACCCCCAACCCCACCCCCCACCACCAACACCCAACCACCCACACCACCACCCCCACCACCCCACCACCCACCACCACACCCACCCCACCCAACACCCAACCACACCCCCACACCCCACACCACACCACCCACCACACCCCACCCCACACCACCCACACCCACCAACCCCACCCCCCACCACACCCACCCCACCACCACCACCCACACCCCCACCCACAACACCCCACCCACACCCACCACCACACCCCCACCCACACCCCCAACCCCACCCACCCCCAACACCCCCCACCCACACCACCCCACCACCCACACCCCCACCCACCCACCCCACCCCCACCACCCCACCACACCACCCCACCACCCCCACCACCAACCACCCACCCCAACCCCCCCAACACCACCCACACCCACCCACACACCCCAACCACCCCCCACCCACCAACCCCCCACAACCCCACCACCCCCCCCACCCACAACCCCCCCACCCACCCCCAACCACCACCCCAACACCCCCCACCACACCCCCCACCCACACCAACCCACCCACCCCCACCACACCAACCCCACACCACCACCCCCCAACACCACACCCCCACCCACACACCACCAACCCCCAACCCACACCACCCACACAACACCACCCCACCCCACACCCACCCCACCACCACACCACCCACCACCACCCCCCCCACCCACACACCCCACACCCACACCACCCACCCACAACACCCCCACCCCACCACCCACCACACACCCACCACCCACACCACACCCACCCACCACACACCACCCACCAACCACCCCACACACCCCACAACCCCCAACCACACCCCACCCACCACACACACAACCCACCAACACCCCAACCCACCCCCCCACCAACACCCCACCACACCACCCCCACACCACCACCCACACCAACCCCCCCCACCCCCCCCACACACCCACACCCACACCCCAACACCCAACCCCACCCACCACCACCCCAACCACACCCCACCCACCACCACAACCCACCACCCCACACCACCACACCCCCACACCCACCCACACCCAACACCACACCACCACACCACCAACCCCACACCCCCACCCACCACACCACCCCACAACCCACACACAACCCCCACCCACCAACCCACCACAACCCCACACACCCCACCCCCCACAACCACACCCCACCACACCACACCACCCCCCAACCACCCCCCACACCCCAACCACACCACAACACACCCACACCACACCCACACACCACCACCCACACCCAACACCCACCCACCCCACACACCCACCCACCCCACACAACCACCCCACAACCACCCAACACACCCACACCCCCACCACCCACACCCAACCACACCCCCACCCACCACACCCCCACACCACACCCCACACCACCACCCCACCCCCACCACCCACACACCCACCACCCCACAACCCACCACCACCACAACCCACCCCCACACCCACAACACACCCCCCACCACCCACCCCCCACCAACCACACCCACCCACAACCCCACCACCACACCCCCACACACCCACCAAACACCACACCACCCACCACCACACCACCCCACCACACCACCCCACCCACACCCCCCACACCAACCACCCACACCACCACCCCACACCCAACCACCCACCCCACAACACCAACCCCACCCACACCACCCACCCCAACACCCACAACACCCACCCACCCCACCAACACCCACCCCCACAACCACCCCACACCACCCCACCCACCACACCCCACACCCACCACCCCACACCCCAACCACAACCACCCAACCCACACCCCCACCACCCCACACCCCACCCAACACACCACCCCCCAACCACCCACACAACCCCCCACACCCCCACCCACCACCACACCCACACACAAACCCACCACACCAACCCACCACCCCCAACCACCCACACCCCACCACCCACACACCACCACACCACCACCCCACACCCACACACCACCCACCCACCACCCCACCAACCCAACCACACACCCCCACACCCACACACCACCCCACCACCCCACACAACCACCCCAACCACCCCCACCCACCACACACCACACCAACACCACCCACCCCCCACCAACACCCCCACACCACCCAACAACCCCACAACACCACAACCCCACCCACACCACCCACACCCCACCCACACACCACCCCACACACCAACCACCCCCAACACACCCCACACCAACCCCACCACCCCAACACCCCCACCAACACCACCCCCAACCACCCCACCCACACCCACCACCACCCACCACCCAACCCCACAACCCCCCACCACACACCCACCACCAACCACAACCCACAACCCACCAACACACCCACCCACCCCACAACCAACCCCCCACCCCCCACAAACCACACCCCCCACCCACCCACCCCCACACCCAACCCCCCCACCCACACCCACCCAACCACCCACCCCACCCACAACCCACCCACCAACCACCCCCCCCACACCCCCACACCCACCCCACACCCCACCCCAACCCACCACACCCCCCACCACCAACCCACCCCCACCCACACCCCCACCACCACACCCCCCCACCCCACACAACCCCACCCCACACCCCACCCACCCACCACCCACCACCCCACCAACCACCCACACCCCACCACACCCCACCCACCACCCACCCCAACCCCCCACACCCACCCCACCCCAACCACAACCACCCCCACACCCACCCACACCACCCCACACACCCCAACACCCCACACCAACACCACCACCCCACCCACCACCACAACCCCACCACCCCACCACCCCCCACACCCCCACACCACCCACCACCACCCCACACCCACCAACCCACACACCCCCACCACCCCACCACACCAACCACCCACCACCCACCCCACCACAACCAACACCACCACCACACCCCACCAACACCCAACCCACCACCACAACCCCACCACCCACCACACCACACCCCCACCACCCCACCCCACCACACCCCACACACCACACCACACCCCACCAACCACCACACACACCCCACACCCACCCCACAACCCACCCCACACCCACACCCCCCACCCACCACACCCCCCAACAACACCACACCACACCAACCACCACCCACCCCCACACCACCACCCCACCCACACCACCACACACCACCACACCACACCCACCACACCCACACCACCCCACACCACACCACCCCCACCAACACCAACACACCCCACACCACCCACACCCCCACACCCCACCACAACCCACCCCCACACCCCACCCCAACACCCACCAACCACCACCCACACCCCACACCCACACAACACACCCACCACACCCCCACACACCAACCCAACCACCACCCCACCCACCACACACCCCCACCACACACACCCCCACACACCAACCCCACCACCCCACACCAACACCACCCCACCCAACACCACCCACACCCCCACCACACCACACACACCAACACCCACCCACCCCACACCCAACACCCCCCAACACCACACCCCACACCCCACCACCACCACAAACCACCCCACACCCCCACCACCAACACCCCACCCCCAAACACCCCCACCACACCCCCAACCCCACCCCACCACCAACCACACCACACCCCCACCACCCCCACACCAACCCACCCACACCAACCACACCCACACCACACCACCACCCCACAACACACCCACAACCCAACCACACACCCCACCCACACCAACCCACAACCCCCACACCCCACACCAACCCCAACACACCACCACCACCCCACACCACACCACCCAACACACCACACCCACCACACACACCACCCCACCAAACCACACCCCAACCACCCACAACACCACACCCAACCCCCACCCAACCAACACCACCCCCCACACCACCACCAACAACACCCACCCACACACCCACAACCCCACCACCAACACCCCCACCACCCACCACAACCCCCCCACCCACACCCAAACCCCACCCACACCACACCCACCCCCACCCACCACCCAACACCCACCAAACACCACCCACACCCAACCCACCAACCACACCCACCCCACCCACACCCACCACCCACACACCCACCCACACCACCCCCACCACCCACCCAACACACCCACCACCCACCACCCACACCACCACCACACCACCACCCCACCACACACCACACCACCCCACAACCCCACCACCCACCACACCCAACCCACCACCCACCACCCCCACCCCACACCCCACACCCCCCACCCCAACACACACCCACACCCCCACCACCACAACCCCACACCACACCCCACCCCCACCACACACCCACCCCACCCACACCCCACCCACCCCCACACCCCCCAACCCCACCCACAACCCCACCACCCCCCACACCCCACCCAACCACCCACACAACCACCCCACACCCACCACCCCACACCCCCACCCACCACCCACACCCCCCACCACCAACACCCACCCAACACCCACCACCCCACCACCACCCCCACACCCCACCACAACCCACCCACCCACACCACCACAACCACCACCCCACCACCCCAAACCACACCACACCCCAACCCACCCACCACCACACCAACCACCACCCACCACACCCACCACCCACACCCCACCACCCCACACACCCCACCACAACCACCCACCACCCACACACCACACCCCACCCCACACCCACAACCACCCCACCCCACACACCCCCACCCACCACCCCACCCACCACACCACCCACCAACACCACCCCAAACCCCACACACCACACCCCACACACCACAACCACCCCCCCCACACCACACCACCACCACACCCCCACACCACCCCACACACCACACCACCCAACCACCACCCACACACCCCCCCCACCCACCACCCCACACCACACCCCACACCACACACACCCCCACCCAACACCCCCACCACCCCCAACCACCCCACCCACACACCCCCACCCCACCAACCCACACCCCACCCACCACACCCCACCCCAACCCACCACACCCCACCCACCCCACCACACCCCCCACACCACACCACCCACCCACACCCCACACCCCACCACACCACCCCCCACCCACCACCCAACACCCCACCACAACCCACCCCACCACCCACCCACACCCCACACCCACCACCACACCACCACCACCCCACCACACCACCCCCAACACCCACCACACCCCACACCCACCACCACACCACAACCCCACCACCACCCAACCCCACACCCCACACACCCACCCCACCACACACACCCACCCCACCACCCACCACACCCAACCACCCCACCACCACACCACCCCCACCACACCCACACCACCCACCCACACCCAACCACCCCACACCCACACCACACCACACCCACACCCACCACCCACCCCACACACCCCCACCAACACCCCACACCACCCACACCACCACACAACCACCACCCCACACCCACCACCCAACCACACCACACCCCACACCCACACCACCACACACCCCACCACACCACCACCCACCCACCACACCCCAACCACACCACCACACACCACACCCCACCAACCCACACACACAGCACCAAATAATTACTAACTTCTCATAATAATTATCACACTTTTTTATTAATAAATATGATAACCTCATCCCACAGCAGACTCACATCTTTACATCTAAAGCACAGAAACCTGCAAACTTAATCCTCATAATCGTATGCACACTCATTATAATCCATTCTTTGAAAAACAGACACAACAATCACTTAAAGTTAATAATATATAAACAGACCTCCTTCACTCCCCATGTTGATACTCACACTCCTCACCACAGTTTCTATCTTATATCAAAACTCATATTATTTTTATCAGTACCTCTTTAAAACCATTTTAAACCATCAAGCATTTAGTTCAAATACCACCTCATCCACGCAGCGCAAAGCTCTGCCAGCTCGGTACCGAGAGAACCTGCCTACAAATAAAATCTTCATTACAGCTCAGCACTCTTCCTTAAGATATAACTTCTTGTTGCCTATTTTCCTCCTTCCTCTCAAAAAATCCTGTCTTCACCTCCACCTGAGAATGGAATTTCTCCACATGTCCTAATCTACTTCCAAAAAATACCTATAATTACTCTTCTTATCTTTATCCTTCCCTTCACCCATACTAAGATCCCAATATCCTCACCACTAAATTCCCCAACTCACTACCTACTCATCATCCCTCCAGCGTCCTATCCCCCTCTCCCCTATCCTTATTAACCTAATATTAAATCTATTATGTAACCGATTCCAACAATTATTAAAAATTATCTTATTCTAAAGCTTTATAAATAACAGCAAAATATATAATTATCCACCAATTTATTTCTCCTAATACTACAACTAAAACCTAAAAAATCACGAAAATTAATAGCTTTTTCTATGCCTTAAGTTTCTAATCAAACATTTACTCTGTCCAAACAAATAAACTGCAATCAAAATACCTATTATTATTATTTTATTCTGTATTAAACAACCTTTATATATACAACCTTTTAAACCATACAATTAATTTGTCTTATATTAATATTAACTTATATATTCGCAATTAAAAATAAATATTAAATACATCTAAGAATATATTTATTTAGCGCCGCTCTCCACGCAAATCCTGCTAAACTTTCACTCATGATACCAAAACACGTGCTATAAAGATATCCGTTATGACTCAATCATCACTCCTAAATCCCTCCTATCTCTCCACCCACTTAAACTCGCCCCCTCTCCCTCCATAACCAACGTATCTCCCCCTATCTCCCCCCCTCCCCTCATCCCTCATCCACACTATTTTTAACGAAAATCATTAAATCAATTATTACTTACACTGCATCTCCAAAGCATAACACGTGAAAACGACAAAACGCGCTAAATCAATCCCGATAAAAACAATCTCCCGCAAAAGTTCAAAAAATCCCGACTACGACGTCGAGTATCCACAAAAACCAAATTAACATCAATATAAAAATTGCAACTTCCCTCAATCACTTAACTCATTCCTTTGTGTGTTTTTTGTGTGTTTGGCTTTTGTTTTTTTTTTAATCATTTTATCATTAACTATACAACTTTACATAAAACTAAACCACTACTCATTACGCTTTACTAAATATCTCGAAAATTTTTTTTATTCAACTCATGCAAATAAAGACTGTAAAAGCAATAACTGAGATTCTTATAAAAATCAATTTTCTGTAAAATCAACTAACATTATGCTCAAACCCAGCTCTCACTTCCATTTTTTTTTTAATCGCATTCTTTTTATTTTTTTTTTCATTATGATTTATTTCTATTTCATTATTTATTATTATCAAATTAATCTTAATTTCCAATGTACGTAAAACCACCTAAAACAAGCAATTCGAACTCTCCATACAGTACCTTCAACATACCTTTCTTCTTATCATCTTATATTCACCAATCTATTTTCTATCCATTTATAATATAAAGATAATTAAACTTATTTCATTACAAATCTGACAATACAACGTAATATATAATTCTATCCAGCTATTAGATTCAATTTTCTACTCTATAAAAAAACATATATAACTCTACAATTAATATTCTTAATCTCCAACAAAACTTTAAGACTAAAATCTTTCTTCAATCACCACACAACAGAAATCAAACTTTCAGACTAAAAAATCAAATAACTCATAAACAAACCATCCCATAAGTTGATAACAATTAAAACTGTACCTATTCTTTTCTCTTTCATAATAATTTTTTCAGACAAACAAGTGATAAACTTAAAGCAAAACAAATTTTTCCGCTGCTTCAGCTAGTGTAAATAGACTCGGGTATTATTTGATAATATTGACCTTAAACAGAATAATTATTTGTAATGGGTTATACAAAGTTATTTTTTGTTTAAAAGTGATACCCAAATTTAAAAACAGTTAATATATTCCTAGTAATTTTGCTAACTCACAATCGACATTATATTTAAACTCACTAATCTATCAATATTAACTCCATTCAAATTATTTACTCAGTAATAATTAATAATAATAATAAAATAATATAAAATTATAATAAACCATCAGTTTTCACTCCTACACACTGTGACATACACTACTGACCACACTGCCCGGCAACACTACTGACGACAACTTGCCACCCCCCTCCCACCACCTCCACCATTCACACACACCAACCTCTTAATCTCTTGAAATTACCTATCAAATTTAATTTACTCACAAAAGAACCATCTCAATTGGCATTTTTTATTTTCTCATATCTGAAACACCTACCCATTTTATCCCTACTCTACCTGCAAGCCAGCCCTTCACCTCAAGCCCAGCAAGCCATCCCTTCTCCTCATTTCCCACAACCAGCCCCCCCCATATTCCCAGATAGCCTTCCAGTCTCCTCGAGTCCCACAACCGTCCTTCTCCTCAAAATATTTCCCCCACCCCCCACCCCCCCCACAGACCATCCGCTCCCAATCCACAACCAGTCCCTACTCCCTAAATTCCCCAATACCATACCCTGTCTCCTCAATCCCACAGACCTTCCTTCCCTCAAATCCCACAACCAGTCCCTTCTCCCAACCCACAATAACCATCCCCTGTCTCCTAAATCCCACATAGCCAATTCCCTTCTCCCAATCCCACAAGCCATCCCTTCGTTCTCAAGTCCAACAGACAATCCTCCTCCTAAATCCTAACCATCCCTTCTCCTCAAGTCCGCACAGACCATCCTTCTCCCAATCCTCAGACCATCCTTGCTCTCAGAGTTCCCCCACACCGTCCTTGCTCTTAGAGTCACATATACTTTTACACATTATATTACTCCACCTTCATTCCATTATTCACCTTATAATTCACCTTACTTTAACTTTCTTCACCTTCACCCATCACCGACTAAAGCTGACTTAATGTCGCGTGTACTCAGACTCTTTTCCATCTCCCATTAATCATCTCACCAACCTATTCTTTATTTTTTCACTACCCACCAAACCCTCGAAATCTTTGTAGATGACCTCTCACTGGCAAGAACCTAACCACTCTTTCTCCTTCACCAACTAAAAATTCTTCATTCTGATCATAAAGACAAAAATCCAATTTTCGCCTAATTTTGTAGTCACAAGGTCAAATACCTAACTCCCTACACACTACTAAATACAACAAAAAGTCTAACAGCATCTATCTATCCTACCTTCTTCTCTCTCCACTCTTCTCAACTAACGCCACCAGGCCCCCTCCACCTCACCTACACCTTCCCCGACCCCACCCACCTCGCCCTTCTTTCCTCCAACCCTTCGATTCTTCCCCAATCCCAACAACAACCGCACAAAACATATGACCACTCCCCGCCTTCAACATAACGCTTCCTCCACAAGCAGCCGAACAAGACCCCCCATCGTCCTCACATAGTACCTAGTGTTCCAACCTCACCAAATATAATATCTCCAACGATGAACCCAGATCGTCACAAGACAATCTCACCACGATCAAGCGCCTAAAAGGACTAAATCATTCCCAAAAGACATCCCACACCATCCCCTATATTTTGTTCGATCTAACAAGCCGCAACCACATTCACGCGAATCCAACATCTCTAACCTCAAAATCACTTAACATAACTTTCTTGTTGTTTTATAACGCATCAGAAAAACAATCAATCCTGAAAAAACAAAAACCTTTAAAACCCATAACAAGAAGAGAAAGAAATCTACTCCACACAGACAACATAACCCAATCTGACTTATCCAACTATTATCCTAACTACTGAATCCAAACACTAGAACCATCGACTAACCAAATCACTTATCCAACATTGTAGATACACCACTAGATCCTACTATTGTATCCAACTGTTTTGTAAAACCAAATCATTAACCATCTCCACGTTTTCAACGATTAATCCAACTATTTTAACCCCAACTAATTTGTTCAACTGACTTAATCTAAGAGCTAGATCCTACTCAGCTAAACCAACTACAAGATCCAGACTGACTAACCCAGACTCACTAATCCAACTCAGCGAATCAAACGACTTTAACCATCTACTGTGTTTCAGCTGACTAGATCCAACTACTTAATCCAAACTATTAAACCAAATCACAGTTTCACATCTTTATCCAACTATTAGATCCAACCAGCTGTAGATCAACTACTTAATCCAACCACTTTTTTCAGACTGATTAACCCACACGTGTCAACTCAGCTTAACAAGACACTAACCCAACTCAGTCTGTAATCCAACAGCTGTAGATCCGACTAGTTAACCAGACTCACGTAATCCATTACTAGTTTAATCCAGACTCCACTGTAATCCTGACTCACTTTTTTCAACTGATCTAATCCATATGAGTAACCCAACTCACGAGAACCAAACATACAAAATTAAGAATCCCAACATACTTACAAAATGCTATAGAATATACCTCTTTCGCTTACTCCCGCCTCCCATTCACTAATTCACAACAACAATGATCAATTCACCCTCCCACTTCCACAAAACCTCTTTCTTTCTTTATACTCCCCATCTATAAATTCGCAATACCAAAATCCGAAACGCTGTCATAATAGACTATAAACCCTCACCTCCTCTCCGTAATACTGCGAAATTCCAAGACACAGATCGGCTCCTCCCACACACACTCACACTCCGCCGCACACAAGATTTCAGAGCAAAATGTTATACATTAAAGTATCCCATCTGAATCATCACACAAACTCACGATTTCTACAACATTTTCTATAAACTAAACCAAAAACAAGCATTTAACCAGGTAGACGAGACTAATAATAATAAAGATAGATAATAGATACATAATAATTATTATAAAAAAGATATATGAATTGATAAAAATAGATAAATAAATAAATAATAATAATATATAATAATAAAATAAAATAATAAGATAATAATTATAGATGATAATAAATATTAGATAAATAAGAAGAATAAAATAATATAATAATATGATATAAAATAAAATAATAATATAATATAAATTAAAATATAAAATTAATATAAATATAATAATAAATATTATAATAATATTAATTATAATATTAATAGATAAAATTAAAATAAAATTTTTTTTTTAATAATAATAATAAATAATAGATAATAATAATAATAATAATATGGTCACACACAAAATTAAAAATAAAATTCATCTATATAATTAATTATGTATTATATACCATTTACACATAGCTACCAATACTTACAATTCAAAATAACTATATTTTAAATAATAAAACAACTCCCTCCTCACACAACATCTCACAATACAAGATAAATAACATTGTAAACACAAAACAACTTCGGTTTCCAGACGACTCTCTTCATTTTGATACATCACAACAAAACTCGCTAGTTAAACTTTTGCCTTATAAGCTTTCCCGCTCTGTTTGTCATGAATTTTACCCCCCCCCAACTCCACTCACATCTTTCTCATTTCCCCGAACCGCTCATTCCACACCTATCTATTTTATTTCTATCTATATAACTAACATCCAATTTGTTTTCTCAATTCAAAAAATGCTTTTAACTACATACAATTTTTATAATCCTAATTGAATGTAAAACTTACCCAATTCACCTAAACTCCCCTCTCTCCAACACAACGACTCTCTTTAACTCAAACTGACACTTCACCCAATTATTCTACACTCTCTCAAACAACAACACAGGAGAGAAAAAGAATTGGTAAAAAAATTCATTTCAAATTTATCTTAATACCAGCTCCTCTAGGACAACATCAACCACCTGAATCCATACTCAATTTACATTCTATACGATTATATCACAACTGTTTATAATAAACATTGTATGAACTTGAAAAAACAAATGCATATAAGTTAAATAAATCAATTATAAACTAATCTCCAAGTACTAAAATAAGAACCTATTTTCCTATCTGAAAACAATAACCATCAAAACTAAACCCTTGAACAAAAATCAAATATAACTCTCCTCGGTCTTACTGAATCCAACTACTAAACCCACATCCTCTAAACATTGTTTTTTTTTTTACAAATTTTATTTCTTTTTTATTCTCCTAATTTCGTACTTGACTTTGCTTGTATTAGTAATATTTTAGCTTCTTTTTGTTCGGAACATTTTAATCTTTACATACTTGCCTGTAAAAAGCGCTATATAAATACACATTACTTACTGTTTATTTTATCAATTTTATTTTTATTTTCTCTCTCACTCTCCACTATCTACAACATAATCTATATTTCTATCTACTACGGAGATCTTCTATCATCTATCATCTATCCTCTAGCTCTATCTATCTTTCTTCACTACTACTTTCACTACCTTCCGTATATATCTAACTATCTATATATCTCTCTATCTATACTATCTATCTACCCTCTTTCTACTCTATCTATCTATCTACTATTCTATCTACTCTCTACTCTCTACTATCTCTATCTATCTATCTAACTATCTATCATCTAATCTATCTATCTATCCTCGATCTTTCTTTCTCTTCTCTCTATGCTCTATCTATCTCTATCTATCCACTATCTATCTTTCTCCTATCTCTACTATCTTACTATAATCTATCTATCTCTATCGATCATTCTACTATCAGCTTCTATCGTCTCTTTAGCTATCTACTATCTTCTTTTTATCTGCCTTCTACTATACTAGCTATCTATGACCTCACTCTCTCACCTGTACAATGCATCTTCATGTGCTTTTTTTACTATCACTTAGAAATCATATCCCATCTCACCAAATTCAAAATAAAAGTCTACATTTTCACTCATGTGTGCTACGAAACCCCCTCTTTCCACTTTTTTACACTAAACACTTCCTCACTGTCATCTCCATTCAGCATTAAAACCACTTCCCATCTATACACACCCTATCATCTACTCACCTCCGTCCCAGTATTTCAATCTACGGCCATATTAGTATGCTACTGCTATAAAAAACTACAAAAGCCAATCTTTTTCCAGATAACTAATTATCCATATCCCCCTCCTTTTTTATTCATAAACTTCAGACACACGAAAGAGAACTAATTCCTAAAATCATTTGTAAATATATCTTTAATTTATTTCTTTTCTCACCTTTACTCCTACACCCATCCTATCTACAGCCACATCCTGAACACACCTACTATCAACAAAACCTATCCGATCTCAACCGCATCTACTACACCTGATCCTGATCACAACCTCATCCTACTCTATAATCCGTTCACAACGATCCTGTTCTACATCCCATCCTATCTACACCCATCATATACCAAACCTCATCCTTCTACAACCTCATCTAAACAACAGCCAGTCCTACTACACCTCATCCTGTTCAACACCTATCCTACTACAACCTCATACCTTATCTACACCCAGTTCCTAAACAAACAGCCACTCCCTATTTACAACCTCATCCCTGATCAACACCTCATCCTATCACACCTCATCCTGAAACAAACCTCATCCTTCTTCACCTCATCCTGATCCTACACCAATCCTTCTTCCCTACCCTACACCTCAGATCCTATCTACACCCACCTATCTACACCTATCCTTTCTACAACCGCAGTCCTACTACTGCCTCATCCTAAAACCAACACTCATCCTT